TTTTCTATTGTATCAAATACTTATTTCATGCAATAAAATGGAAATAAATTATTTAAAAGTCCAACAATGTGATTTACTGGAATTTTTTGTAGATTCTGTTTCTCACAGTTGAGGTGTACCTACGATGAAAATTACATAACTATCCATTCTTTGTAAGTGGGAAAACTTGGAAAATCAGCAGTGTATCGAATACTTATTTGCCCCACTGTATATAATGAACATGTCTCTTTTTTTCCTATACTGCAGGGGAGCTGTTTGCACAGGCACCAGTAGAGGAGTCCCCTGGCATCGCAGTGGAAACAGTTAGTGACTCAAGCCGTTACTTTGTGCTCCGCATCCAGGATGACAACGGTGGGCAGACTGGTTGTTGTTATGCCATAAATATTTTGTAAATGTGTTCATAGGTTACATAATAACACGTTCATACAAGATCCTCCACAGCAGGGATGCACCATTATTTTGTACACTAAATATTGGAAGATGTTTATTGTAGTGTGCAGATTGGAGGTTTAGTATGTTTCTGCTTGTACTGCCACTCAGACCCTGTGCTAAACTCACACGTGCAGTATTTCTTGTGTTTTTTTTTTTCTGACACAGGCCGCAGTGCATTCATAGGCATTGGGTTTGGAGACCGAGGCGATGCCTTTGACTTCAATGTTGCACTTCAGGACCACTTTAAGTATGCAGTTACTCTATTGTGGATCATGAATCGTAACACATTTAGTAGCTATATTTGTTTAGTTTTTCAGCTGTCTTTAATCCATTAGTTACATTGTCTTCCTTCTCTTCTCCAGGTGGGTAAAACAAGAAAATGAATTTAGCAAGCAGGCACAGGCTCCAGACTCCACTCCCAAACTGGACTTGGGTTTCAAGGAAGGACAGACCATTACTCTCAATATCGGGGTATGGTTATTATCACAAAGTGAAATAACTCTAAGGCTGGTACATTAGTGGAGCTAATGGTGCTGAGTCTTTTAAAAGGAGTTTTGTTGCTTTTGGTGATTGAACCACCAAAGGTATACTTCTGCTTTAAGAAAACCCTTGCTAATTGAAAGTTGAAAGTTAATTTATTATAAGGGATTAAGTGTCTGCCTTTATATTTCACTGCAAAGGTTACAAACCCACACACACTTACCCAGTTTTATTTCTCTTTATATTCTCCAGCAATCAAAGAAGAAGGACAGGTCTCGTCCACAGAGTTCAGGTGGCCTTGGGCTGCTTCCACCTCCTCCTGGGGGCAAGCTAGCCCCACCCCCTTCTTCCAGGTCTACCAATCATAACACACAACCATCTGGAGGAGGAAGTGACACGGGTAGGTAGCTTATTAAGTCTGTCCTGTGTGTTTTTTTTTTTTTTATATGCTTGTTCAAAAAAAGTTTTTTTTTTAATGTATGATATGTAAACGGTGAGACTGACACATATACAAACACGCTTTTACCTACATACAGTATACTCAGATAGGCATGAATCCATAGTAAGCCAGAGAGCTAGGAATATGAAAGCTTCTGCAGAGACCTAAAAACTAAAAGCAAGATAAACAGAATTACATGAAATAAAAATAACAACGGATACATTTTCTCATTATCAGGAAGTACATACTATATCATGATCTAAGTATAATACTGTTTTCCTGTCATCACAAGATAACCATTTTCATATGAAAAAGCTATTTTGCAGCTTGTTACACAATATACAGTATGTCAAGATTACAGAAAGTAGAAAAAGTGTTATGTCAGTATTTTTATGATCTTCACTCAGCTGTCAAAGGTACTTTTTTGTAAGAATACATGACATTAATTTTATTGTCCCATAATTCTCAGCTTTTTATATAGGTGCATCAGTTTCATTTCCAGTGGGGTGAAGAGTGTGGTCTGGCTGTGGTATTTCAGAAGTCAGAATGAAAGTTTATGTAAATGCTTAGTATGAAACAGAGGAAATTAACTTTGTTGCTAAAAGCTTGTATTTCTTTAGACCCATGTTGTAAAACTGTTTCCAATGGAGCACTTGTATTCACCCTCTTTAAAATGAAGGTGCTGAGTGCACTGTTACAGGAACACTAGCTAAAGCTATAACAAATAGATTCTTGTTGTAAAACACTCAAAATTTCTATTAAACAAATATTGTTGGCCCTGTCCTCTGTAGATGTCCTTACACTACGTAACACTTCACTTTTACCTCCACCAGAGGTGGCGATAATGTTTTTGGTTTGTTGGTTTGTTAACAGTATAAGTCAAAAGTATTGAATAGATTTTGATGGAGTGTCTTTGGAGACGTAGGGTGCACCCCACAGAACAATTGATTAGAATTTGGTGCTGATCCATAGGTTTTTGTGATCAATCATACACTGAACAAAATTATAAACGCAACACTTTTGTGTTTGTCCCCATTTTTCATGAGCTGAACTCAAAGATCTGCGATTTGTTCTGTGTACACAAAAGGCCTATTTCTCTCAAATATTGTTCACAAATCTGTCTAAATCTGTGTTAGTGAGCACTTCTACCTTGGCCAAGATAATCCATCCACCTTACAGGTGTGCCTTAGGCTGGCCACAAGGATTGAATACAATGGAACTTTAAAGTAGGTGTAATTACCTATATTGTATGATAGTGTATTAGTAATATCTGCATAAAAATCTTGGCCTAAAAATTATTGCATTCTTAGATTGATAAGAAACAAATAATCATGTCAGAAATCTATATTTTGGATTTAGAGGTTCATTATGTTTCTGTTGTGTTTCATTTATTAAACGACAGGTTTGCTTGACCTGGACTCTAGTAACTCCAACTCAGTGGATGCACTCAACCCCACTACCACAGCCAATGTAGACCTCTGGGGAGACTTTGACTCCGTATCCTCAAAGTGAGGAGAGATTTGTTTTGTTTTTCTTCCTCTTATCTATCTGTATATTTATGCTGCACTTTTTGTAATTTTTTTTTTTGGCTTTTTTTTTTCTGATCTTAACTTGAGATACACCCCAACCTCACAGCACAGTCTTTATAATCCCATTTCCTGTCCTTCTGTATATCCAGTCCAGCTCGCTAGTTTCCTTTCTGCTGTTGCCCCTTTCCTTCTCCTTACAGTGTTTGATTTGCTAATATATATCACAGAGTATACCTAATAGAAATATGATGGAGACGTATTCAGAAACATCTGATGATGAAATATAACAATGAGTTAATTTTATGTACAGAGGATATTTATTTTAAATGTATATATTGTCAGTAGTTTGTAATTATTGCTTTCAGTGTTGTCACATGTATGTACTCTAGGTTATTTTTCTCCAAGTCTCCAACAGAGGGACTGGCTATATGCACTGACTGGCAGTCCAGTCTGTCTGTGTAGTTAGTAATGCACAAAATCTGCATTTAAGGCAGGGATAGTCTAATATTAAATTTAGATTAATGTGAAGTTTACTACAAAATGATTTTACTTGAAGGACTGATGTTAAGCTGTAACAGATTTACACAGTCGCTGTGCTCTCTACCGCTCTCTAGTGGGCTGTTGTGACTCTTCATTCTAATTTGGAGTGAGCAAAAGTCAAATTGAGATGCAGCTGTTGAAAAGAGAGTTTAAAAAGGACGGGTCCAGGGCACTGTGAGAATTGGTTTAACTGCAAATCGGTGTATAAACACAAGAAAGTAGAAATGTTGAATGTGAAAAAGTGAGGCATCAAGTGCTTTTTATCATTGCCTCAAGGGTAATCGGCCACAATTTAATCCATGTTACGTCATTTCTGTTCAGCACAACTGTTAAAGCTGTGAATGGGGAGTCATAGTTCACAACCACTCTCCTGATCAGCGATTTGGTCTGTGTTTCTGCACCATCCCGTCAGAGACCTCCTCCTTCTTAATTCTTTATGATGCGGTGAGCAGGTTGTCCATCTCAGACACAGCATGTCATACTGCACAGATTAGTTTTAACTGTGAACTTCAGTTCCATGTCAAGATGTAATGTCATTCATGGTCTTCTGATGCAAGATTGTGAAACCAAGCCAGTTTACGTTCAGTACACTGTTTTGTTGTGTTGTTACATACCAAGACATGGATCATGTTATACTCACATGCACCTGTGTCGTGACAGGTGTGCAGTGACAAGATGACAGAAAGACTGTGTAGAAAACCCTAACGATATTTGTCACTGTTTACTGTTCAAACTTGATGCATTTCTCCCAGATGTTACTTGTTATTCAAACTGTATATGTGTATGTAAATGAATATGCAAAGAAAAACAAAGATATCACTCAATTACCATAGCTTTCATTTGTTGTTGTTTTTTTCTCTGAAAAAGAAGAAATCAATAAGCGCCTCTTCTTGTGAACAAACGTAGTTATATTTTATTGGATACAATTGTGCATATGTAATACTGGATTGTCAGTGGGTACCTTGTGATCTGCAACACAGTGGGTCTTTCTTTCTACAATGAAATGACTCAGTGTTGCTAGAGGCCCATTACCACAGTAAATGGATCATAACCCATGGAAGACATGATCTGTGTCCATCAGTACATACAATATATAAACAAAGATATAACTCAGCACCTGTCTGTGCATGCAAGAGAAACAAGAGCCCCCCCAGGTGTTGAACAGTGGATTTACGGTGTTATGGGTTGTTTTATGGCAACACCCCTAGTTTGCGTCTCTAAGGTGCTCCATCTCCACCGGCGATCACATCACCACACTGGGCCCATCAGGCCTTGTTTGCCCAAGTCTGGGGGTTGCTACGGCGATAGCGGTACCGTTTCCTATTAGATGACCTCTCAACACGTTTGGGCCACCCAGACAGCTCTCGGCACAGGTCAGCTGCAGTGTGCAAAAAACGGACCTCTTCACATGTATGATCATATGTCTGAACATCATAGTGGTTGTTATGCATATAGATTCTCTCACCTTGCAAATACTCATCCTGTTGGCACACTGTTCTTGTGCAGATCTCTTTGTTGATCACGTAGACACGAATGAGGCTGCATTAGAACCAGGATAAGATATGAGCCTTATGTGCAACTACCTGGTGGAACTACAGTGTTTAAAACTTTAATAGCAAAGACTGAACTTTGCCATTAGTTGAATGTAATTAAAAGTCGTTATATTTTATGTGATGATCAGGTTGTGCAATTAAAATCTGAATTTCAAATGAATGCTGATTACAGACATAAATGTAGTGGATTAAAAGTGGTAGCCTAATACACAAATGCACACACACCTAAAAATTGTAACTGTACATTACAAATGTACTTAATATTACATGTAGTTACAACATCAACATGATGCTTACACATTTATGAATCAGTAATATTAAACTAATATTAACACCTCTAATAAAACACTGACAGGCATGTTAATACTAAAATACCAATTTTAATGCAACAAAGCATCTTCACATAGTGATACCGTGTTAAATATACTAAAGTAAAGGATCTGAGTGCTTCTGTCACCACTGATCTTTGCAATACTCTGCCCTGGTGGCTGTGTAAGTGGCACCCTGAGTGGGACACCAACCTCTTTACTGCCCTGCTATATGCAAACATTTTGCTGGTATACAGTGAAATTAACTGTATTTCTGTCGCAAATGTACAAATCACCTGTAGATACAACGACCGTCAACAGATCTCTTGAGGGGCTTGTGAACTGAGTATAACCTGGTGCAACAATACATCTCCTCCCTACAGTCTGCAGAGAGAGGAGATGCATGCCATTTGTATCTGTCATGATTACAAGAGGAAGCTTGGACAAATGTGCCAGGGGTTCACAGGGTATCCTGGCATGCAGCTCAGTTACTCACTGGATGGAAAGACACTGGTTAGAGGTGGGAAAGTGATCTCTACAAATAAGGAAAGAAAACATGATCAGAAAACATCATTGACTCAGACTGACAGATGACATGTGACATAACTAGTCCTAGCGTGACTTAGGAGAAGAACATTACCAATCTGCTGGGCTTGGACTACAGCTGTGAGCGCTGTGGAACAGAAACCACATAAGGGGAGTGTTTTGCAGCATAAAAACAAACACACAGCGACTCAACCATAATTAAATGAGATGATCTGTGTGTTCTGTTTGGCAGCGTTACCTTGGAAACTGCACAGGAGCAGGACCACTGGAAGGCTGCCCATCCCTTCAACTTGTGAGAGGTATGCTTTGCGAGCTGGAGGAAACAGATGAGGAAAAGAGTCAGGGTGATTTCACAGAGTGGAACTGTCCAATATCCTCTCTCAAGATTTGTGTGCTGTTTGTTTCTTAATGCTCCCAGGATTCCAGGCCACAGTCATGTTTTCCCTGGCAGTTTGCTTCAGCTGAAAACAAAGAGCATAGTGCTAGAGTTTGTGTAACAGACAAGTTGTCATTGTTATAGAAGAAAGCCTGATGTCATGTAGCTGTAGAATAATCCATTCTGTGATGTATTCTTTCGACTGCTCGTTAAAGTAGCGGTGGAGCAACAAAAGAAAGGTTTAAAATCAAAAGACACTTTAAGAACTACCTTTGAAAATGTGTTTTTTTTCTCTGCCTCACTTTTTATTTCTTCTTTCTCCTTCCCTCTCTCCTCTCCCACCCTGTATCATTCCTCTCGTTTTCTGTCAACTTTGGAGTCCAAGACATGAGTTCACTCGAAAGAATGTGTTTTTTGTGCCCTGTTTGAGCAGCCCTCCGCCCCTCCACTGTTACAGTTGTACATTCTTTTCCAGCTTTCTTTTCATAGAACGTATTACTGCTCTCCAACTGTATTATCATCATCAGCCAATCTGAGCCAGACACCTTTATCACGAGTCATTGTTTTTCCAAGGCAGTGATTCCAGTGTCATACATTTGCAGTTACTGAACTGAAAACTGGCTAGTCCTAGTTTACTTCGGTACATGTCTGTGTTGATTTGGTATTGACATGTTTTTTTTTACTGCTGAACTCTGCATGCAACCACATATCACATAAATGTAAAATTTTAAATCTAAAGTGAATCGGCTAATCTGCAAAACATTCAGTCTTACATCATATTTACATCTGATTAGTAGATGATATCTTTCCACTAGTGCCTATCTTCTGCAGAGGTTCCTCTGTGTATTTCCTACAAAATGTGTCAAAATCAGGTCTAAAAGAACCATAATTAACTCATACTCACAATTTTTGCTGTCGTCCACAACTGCTTTTGTTTTATGAATCTTTTGTCTTCTCCTCTTTCCCCTCCTTCCCTCTCCTCCTTCCCTCTTCTCCTCCCTCTGTCCTATTGCCCATCATTGTTTTCTTGATTTTTCACCTTTTTCCTGCAGTAATCTGGTAATAATTAACATGCAGTTAAATGCAGCTGATGTCTTTCACACAAAACGTTTTTCTCTTTGGTTTGCACACACCGCTTTACAGTCATCCTGGTCAGACATTTTATTTGACAGATATACAGTAAAAGTGTCCTGTATATTGGTGTTTTGTGTTTCATCACCACAGCCAAACACTGAGACTGTCATCAACCAGGGTAAGCATGCCAATTATTACTGTTTAGTCCAAGGCAACGTTAAAGTTACACAAGTTTTGAATGCCTCTGTAAATACTTGTTGCATTTTAATAATACTCTCTTTTGATACAAAACATATATAAAGATAACAACAACAGTGTTTTTATTTTGATATAAGATCAGAGATGCTGACAGTGCAATGGAAATCTGCTTGGATTTGTTGAAACAATGAAGTAACAGAAGGCACAAATTTATAGTGGGCATCAAATCTGAAAGCTGCACTACTGAATTGTGACCAGCAGGTGGAGCGGTACACAGTGAAAGTGAACCTCAGGCTTGACAGCTCTGCTGTATTTACAGTAGGTACAGAAAGTATTCAGACCCCCTTAAATTTTTCACTCTTTGTTATATTGCAGCCATATGCTAAAATCATTTAAGTTCATTTTTTTCCTCATTAATGTACACACAGCACCCCATGTTGACAGAAAAACACAGAATTTTTGCAGATTTATTAAAAAAGAAAAACTGAAATATCACATGGTCATAAGTATTCAGACCCTTTGCTGTGACACTCATATATTTAACTTAGGTGCTGTCCATTTCTTCTGATCATCCCTGAGATGGTTCTACACCTTCATTTGAGTCCAGCTGTGTTTGATTATACTGATTGACCGTGATTAGGAAAGCCACCCACCTGTCTATATAAGACCCTACAGCTCACACTGCATGTCAGAGCAAATGAGAATCATGAGGTCAAAGGAACTGCCTGAAGAGCTCAGAGACAGAACTGTGGCAAGGCACAGATCTGGCCAAGGTTACAAAAAAATTTCTGCTGCACTTAAGGTTCCTAAGAGCACAGTGACCTCCATAATCCTTAAATGGAAGACATTTGGGA